TTGAGCAAGCTCAGGGAGATGGTGAAGGGCAGGGAGGCCTGGCGTGCTGCAGTTCACAGTGTCACAAAGAGTCAGACACGACTTAGCAACTGAACAACAATCAGCACAGCAGTTTGTGGTAGGACTTTTTTTTTTTTTAATTAGAAAATTTGTAAGGTGACTGATACTGGTCTGTTTTCTAAAACTCATAATCTGAAATATTTAGTCATGAAATGACTCTCTCTCTTTCAACACACCACTCAGCTCTTGTTTAATTCTTTTCTCTTTTCCCAACGTTCTCCCTTTAAACACGTTTCCTTTTTCTTTTCTAGCTACATCTCCTCTTGGCTAATTTCCTTTTTTGGCAATGCTTCTTCAGGCTATTTCCCTATGAGCCAACCTTAGACTGAGATATGGCAATTTTTAATCTGTAATCTTTTTAGAGATTCCTTCTGGTTCTCTTTCCTATACTCTGAATTGGCCTATCAACCTCCTTTACATTCAGCATGACCTTCTAACCTGTGACTAGGTTCTTCCTGTCAGTTGTGTCACATAATTGATTAATCCAGTTGTTGTTGCTGTTCAGTTGTTAAGTCATGTCTGACTCTTTGAGACCCCATTGACTGCAGCACACCAGGCTTCCCTGTCCATCACCAACTCCCGGAGTGTGCTCAGATTCAAGTCCAATGAGTTGGTGATGCTATCTAACCATCTCCAATATTTCTATTTATTGTCATTTTGCTGTCGATTGAACTTTGGCTTTCCCATTATCAGTTCCTTCCTCATCCCTCCCCTCACTTCCCATACCCCAGCCCTCAACCTTTCAAGCAGACTGATAAAAGAAACTATTATCTGTCAGGTAGCATTCTCCTCTCCAGTTAAACTATAACCTAATTTACATTCCTTTGGAAATTATCTCTTAATATATTCATGCTAACTTATTCTCTTTTATATGAAACCTATTTACTGCTCATACCAATCCATTTATATTACAATATTTTTATAGATATTAAACATACAACTTTAAATAAGCAGAAAGGAAGTTTTCTGAATATATGTCTTTTTTCCGAATCTATTTCTGCCAGGTCAAAATCTATGAAAATTTTAAGGCTCTTGGTTTATAATGAAAAAAACTACTTTTTAGGAAGATTTATATTAAACTATGCTACCACTCTTTTAGCACACTCTCCCTAGTGGTTATGAAAGAAATAAAGTATTTTTATATATTTATTGATCAATGTGTTTCCTGCTTAGTAAAATTTCTGTATATGTCTTTTGCCCATTTTTCTATTAGAGCTTTTTGGCATATACAATTTATATTACAATTGATACTATTTGTTTCAAAGTGATTCAGATGTTAAGGCTCTTAATACTGAGTTTCTACAAATACGTTTCACAATTTGTTGTCTGCCTTTTAATTTGTTTATGCTGATTTTGATATTTTGAAGCTAATACCTGACACATTTTAGTCAGATCTCTCTTTTTAAATTTTTTCATTGCTTTTATTTTTAGAAAGGCATTCTCCCAGAAAGAAACTCTTTTATGCTTTCATCAAAGATAATTAACTTCTTAATCACATGCAGTTCATTTTGCTCAATAGGAAGTATAAGCAAGCAGCCCAAAGTCACATCTCTAGTGAGTGACAGACTTGGGTTAGAACTCAGACCTATATGGGTTCAATGTTCTTGCTGTTTCAATCCAACTCTCTTGCCTCTGAAATGATAAAGATCATTTCTGGTGTAGCAGTCCTGACGTGCAAGTTCGTATGACAACAAGTTCCTAAACTGGTAGCCACAAACAAGTAATAAGACATTTGCAATGAATATAACAAAAGAATTAATGCTATCATTCTATAATATCATAGAAAGAATGTCTGCACATCAAAATTCATGGGCTTCAATACAGTTGATCTAAAATAAAAATTGCTTTTTAATATGTTATATAATAATAAAATAATGGTTTCACTTATATAGTGCTTACTATGTAACACAGTTTTTAGGTGCTTTACATAGTATATATTAACTAATTTCATCATTACGAAAGCACTTTGACATAGTAGTGTTATTATCTCCATTTTATAGGTGAGGTATCTGATAGCAACTTTCTCAGGATCACATATCAAATAAGTGGTGAAACTGATCAGGCAGTTTAGTACCACAGTCTTTGCTCTAATACTACTTCTCAGACTATTTCTTACAGGAACACTATTTCCCCCAATATCAATATTTTTATGAAAGAGAATTAAAGTGAGCAACTGGTCTAGGCAAAATTGAATATCATAGTATCAACAGTGTATGAAAACTATTTTGAAAATTTAGCAGTAACATCTTACAATCAGTAGTAAGTTTTAAATTTAAAAACAATGCATTATAAACCCCCATTTTAAATATGAAACAGCTGAAACCCAAAGACATTAAATTATGTGTCTGTAATCACAGCTTACTAGCAAGAATAGGGCTAAAACTAGATATCTTGACTTCTATCTAATAATCTTTCCAGTTTCTTCCACACCACCACACAAGGAAGAAATGCTCAAGATCACGTTTATCCCATGTTTGGGTATTTCTGTGTCAAGCTCCAAGAACGTTCCTAACTCTGTTACCTTACAGTTGAATATTTAAAGGCTTCAAAGAACTAAGTTTAAGTATTATACTCTATCAGTAGTAGTTTTCATACATGATGTGATGTTTTTATATATGTCCATAAACATATATTTCATTTGAGACTTTTTGGTTAAAAACCACAATATTACTTAATAAAATGTTAAGCTTAAACTTACATAAAATATTTCTCAAAGTTACTGTGTCTCTCATAACATTTGAGCTATCTAACACAGTACTGAAACAGAGTTGATATCATGTGCCTCATTATGAACTGAGTGATTTACATTTTCTGTAAAATTTCACTGTAGTAACTAGAGTTATGTTTTCCCATGACTAATCAATCTTGTAAAAAAAATTGTTCTTTTCACACCACATGGCTTTCATGATCTTAGGTCCCCCACTAGGGAATGAACTCATGGCCTTGTCAGTCAAAGTGCAGAGTCTTAACTACTGGACTGCCAGGGAACTCCCCGTGACTGAGCAATCTTGAGTGCCTATGTCTTAGATTTTTGTTAATAATATTATGTCCATTAAATACAGAATGTAACCAAGAACAGAAAATAACTATCAAATGGATAAAATATATAAATAAAATGATTGGTAATAAATTGAAAATTTGAGGATATTTCAAAAACAGTTTATATGTACATTTAGGTGTAAACACATATACACTTAGGTCAAACTTCCCCTACAGTGAATGCTACTTCTCTTACCATTTTAGGATACAAGTAGAACAAAATGTCAAATGTAAGCTCATAGCACTCAAAATATGCCAAGCAAACATAATAAGAATTGAAGAGCAAATTTGAAATAATACACACCAATGAACAATATTCAGAATAATCAGATAAACAAAACAAAAAAGGAACCATTTTCATGCTAAGAATACTATAATTGAAATAATTTAGCTCAGACTTCTCTCCAGAGCTCTGCTCCAGACCCATATATCCAAACACAGATATTAAATGAATATTCCAGAGAAACCTCAAACTAACCCATCCCCAAACTGAACTCTTTATTTTGAACCTTAAATTTTTGTTCAATTCATATTCCCTGTAAGATAAAATATAACACCACCTATCCAAACATTTCAGTCACCCAAGATTATTATCTTATTTTTCCGTGCAACAATAATGTCCAATTGATAACTAAGTCTTATAGATTCTACATCTTTAAATAACTTCTCATGAATCAACTGCCTCTACTGATACCTTAATTCAGCCGATTTTGATCTCTCAACTGATTTATGCAATACCCTTATAAATGGTATTTCTGCTTCTATAGTTCCAGTCCATTTCTGACCAAGCTTCTAGGTAGTCTTTCTAGAAGCAAATATCTGATTGTGTCCCTCTCTTGCTTTATACACTTCAATAACTTACACAGACTTCAGAAACCCTCCCCTGCCTACTTTTGTCTAAGTAAGTCTGAAGCCATTCTGCCACATTGTTTGCTCTGCCTGATATATTCTGTACACATAAGGCCAACATATTTCTAGCTTTCAATATTCAACTCAAGAATCATTGCTTCCATGAAGTCTTCTCAAACTAAGACCCACACTTCTCAGGGGGAAATGATAACACTATCCTTTGTGATTCCACTGTAGTCTACACATACATATAAATTATATGTATGTGTTTCTTATAGCACCTGTAATACTACTGCGCTTATGTTAGACTCATACTAGAAAAGGCCCAGAAGGAAGGGGGCTCTTCTGTGTGCCCTGTGATTTCCACCGAGATCAGAACCACACAGCGAGGACTCAATAGATGAGTGTTGAATAAATGTTCAAGTTTTAGTTCGTGTGACTTCTTTTGTGAAACTTTGTTTGGCCGTCTATTCGAATCAAATTTTATTTGACTTTATACCTTTGTAGAACATATTGTTGAGTCATCCATTTTAGCACATCAACATAGCATGTTATCCACACATTTTAACTCTGTCATACTGACAGCTTGTTTAGGGCATGTATTAGGTCTTTAATATTTTCCATGTTCTAACACACTGCTGAACTCAAGACAGAAATAAAATACTTTTAGAACTATGTATTAAAAAGTTAAAAATAAGTTTTAAGCCTAAAAAAAATTGAAGTATGATTAATTTGTAAATTTAACCTACCTGACTATACATAAACATACATATATTTGAATCTGGAGTTAGTTACCCAGTTATGGAAAAAATGTATATATTACTTCTATGACATAAAATTAATCATTTTGTTTTTATTCATCTAATTGGAGCAGTTGTTGCTAAAAGTTGAATATACAACTACCTAAAATAAAAATGCCTGCAGATTTAACATTTTGTTAATATAGGAAAAGAATGAAAAATTATAAAATAAGTAAAATATAGTAAAAAAAAAATTTCTAAGACAAGTTAGATAAATGAAAAATAACAAAGAAAACATTAGAAGAGACAGACCTGCATGTCTTCTCCTTGTGGCGTCCACTTCTTCTGCGATCACATCGTGTAATGGACAGACATAGACAAAGGAGATGGGTGTGAGTGGATGTACTCAAAAGGTAAAAAGTGACACTGAAGGAAAGGGCCTGAAATCATTTTGAGAAAGAATCCTGTGCACAGTTGTAGGGAAAATATAATCAAATACATACCATATTAAAAGAAAAAAAATAACAAAAGAACTGATGGTGAACTGGTTAAGCTACTATGGGTTAGCAGAATCAGAAAAGTAAAGTTAGTGTAGAAATAAAGAGGATTCAAATGTTTACAATTATTTATGGACAGCCAATCCTGAACAGTGATGCTGAAGAAAGATATCATTAGTAAAAACAACAGTACTTGTAAGACCATATTGTTTAAGACTTTACTAAGTCCATTTCAGATCTGTAAAAATGCTTTTAGAATTTTTAGTTATCATTGAAAGGAAAGGATTTAATTGAATAATCTTCAAAAAGAGCAATAAAAATAGTTTATTTCTGTGCCCTTCAAGTTTCCTAAATTTGTCAGTACATATATGAAAATAAAGTATGACCATTAGGCCAATAATTCACAATACTTCAGTACAAAAACTTATCATTATAAAAATATCCTAGAGTAACAAGTATAATAAAACTCATTATAAAAGACTAGCTGAAATAAAAGGTTTTATTTAAATACTAATTATTCAAGTTAACATTCAATTAAGATAAATTTTCTTTGATCATATTCCTTATAAGGCTTATTTATTCAGAAAATTATTACAGACATCACAGATCACTGATGTTCTCATAGAAATTTGCCCATCCAAATCCAACACCTCCTATAGCAGATATGGCACGTGTTTAGGAAATACTTCTTTATCCATTGATAGTGGAAAAGTTCAGAAGACATTTTATACAGTGATAAAGCAGGAAATGTTTGTTAAAGTGAGCATTCTAAGAAAATTTTTTTCTAAAGATATTAAAGAGTTAGTATGACTGATACAGATAAACATTATAACACAAAATCAAAATGGCCTATTTTAATTACTTTCTTAGCTTCAAATCAGGTGATACAAATTCTTAAATCAAAACACCACACTCATTTCTGCAATACTTGTATCATGGTTTTTGAGTGATTTATAGAAAAATGTGTTATATTAAAATATATTTGGAATGTTGATATACTGAAATTATAACTCTTAAGAGAAAGCATTCCTACAACAAATTTATCTCTTTCTGAATAGTGAGAAAATGAAAATTTTCCACTAGGAAAGAAGTACTGAGGTAACCAAAGCTTTATGTTTTAAGAGAGAAGAGAAATCCTGGTATGAATTTCAGAGATCTGAAAAAAAATTACACATTTTGAAACGTAATGTCATTTTGATTACTATGCAAGCACACTTTTGACCCATTTAAAAGTAGACAGTAAATCTCATCACAATTGTAATACAAATTAGACTCTGCCAATAGGATCGACCACTAGAAAAGTATTATCTTCTGAAATACACTCATAAATTAACATGCTATATACCATATTTTCTTTTGCATCCCAGTCCACCCATTTCTCAAAGGAGATAAAATAGGAAAATATGAGCTATATTAATACAATAGGTTAATGCTGAGATATATTAATATCATATTTTGCATCATTTCCTATAGTAAAACCTTCCCTACATACATATTTACCACACTACTAAAGCAGCTTCCACACTTGGTAAAATGATATTAGTATGAATCGGACAAAATAACCACTTAAGTATATTCCACCTCTAAGAAAATATTTTTTTTTTTACACAAAGCATAAAAGCAACATAAATAAGTGGAGCTTCTTTTGCTACCTAGCATTTTCCTGTATTTTGAGTATTTTATAATGGCATTAAGGCAATATTTCTCATGTTGTATGGATTCAAAACGTTCAAAATTCTTTCTGACTCATTTATTAATTTCTTATAGAGAATAACTGAAGCACACAGACTTTGAGTGACTTACCCAAGGTCATAAAATAAGCTCAAGGCCAGAACCAGAAATAGAACACAGGTCTCCTAATTACAGATCAATTTTCTCTCTACTAGATGCTATATGACCCAATAAAAACATGTGAAATAAAAAGCCAAATAAGAAAAAAATAAATACTTTTTCATGGTAACACCTGAACTGGATATATTATTATATAGTATTAACTAGACACTTTTAAAAAGAGGTACATGGTATAACTAACTATGCAAGTAATTCACCAATGCTTTTTACTCTTGTGAAGAATATGGTAATACTTAGCAACAACAATTTAATTATTCTGAGAAAATAATACAAAATTTATACTATAGAAAAGGATGAAAATGAAAGATTTTAACAATGACCTCACTATGAACTGAAAGTACCTATTAAATCATTTTTCCATTACTTATGTCAACATGATCACTTAATAAATAGATTTTAATCTTACATAAAAATCACTTAACTTTAATTAGCAGACCAAATATTAATTTAAATCATAAAATTTCAATGAATAGCTTTCAGTTATACCAAATATATTTTTTAAATGTTTGGCTTTCCTGTCTTCTTTGTGGTTATAGCTTTTATTATACACTGCTTGTATTAAAACATCCACTTTTGAAAAGAGAAGCTTATACTCTACATCCTTTAAACAGCTGTGTCATATTTCAATGGCAATAGCTATAAAAACTTATTTCACATATATTATTATAATAAATTACAAACTTTCATGAACCTTGAAGAAGCTAAAAGTACCCCCTTCACTTTTCCTATTTCTCTACTTTTCCTTTAATCCTTACTTTGTGACAAACATTCTACCTTCAGTGCTATTAACAGCAATTCTAATGAGAAATCTTTCTAACACTTCATTTAACCAATAACCAGTTAGAGAGATTAAAGACAGTAAAAGTATATCCTCTCTTAGGGGTCTATTACTGTCACACTATAGCTGGTTGTGATCAGATAGATAGATCTATATAGATATAGATAAAATATACACTTACAGCCTTAAGACTTTAAATGTGTATTAGAACTTGCATGTAATTAAAAGTTAATAATAAGTATGAGGGCTTTTTCCTGGAGGAGGAAATAGCAACCCATTCCAGTATTTTTGCTGGAAAAGTCTATGAATAGCAGAGCCTCGAGGCTATAGTCCATGAGGTTGCAAAGAGTCACAAGTGACAAAGCATGCACACATGAGGGTTTTTTAAAGGTCATAGCAACTTTAGAATGTTTCCTTTGAGGGAAGGAGAGATATTTTTCAAAATAAAGCCTAAGCAAAGCATCTACTTAGTAGGTATCTCAACAATATAAAGATCAGGAAAGATCTAGAATAAAAAAATCAAAATGTTTATCAAAGTTTGCAGATTTCAAATTAAAATTTCCCTATTGTGACAAAAATCTTGTTGAAAAACTCCTCAATCTAAGTGATTCAAATTTGTTTTCTAAACTAGTTATTACTTTCCATAATTTTGCAACAACCTTAAGATTATTGAATATTTACAAAAGTTTCTACCTACCTATTGGAATAAGTGAAGCATAATCTTTTGAAATATTAACCTATTTTTAAAGTTAACAAAAATATTTATCTTTTAAATGTCTTGTTTATTATTCCTAGCTGTACCAGATTTTTTTCTGATTCTATCCTTAGAGTCTTACTTGTAATGCAATTTTAAATGCAGAAGAAAAATATGCTTAGAGTACTTATTGAAGGAGTTTAAAATAATTGATTTCCAAACTATAGCATGCTCTTTATCATAAAAAAGAAAGTCACTTAAGTGCAGGTTTGGCCTTATAAATTTATCTGTATGTTTAACGAAAATGGAACCAACTTTAAATGAGCAAGTAAACTCATAAATCATGAAATCTCACATTATTCCAGGAGAATATCCTTGTTAACAATGCTGTATTTACATCTGAAGGTGTCAGCAGTACTTAATTCTAAAATTTCCATCAGTTGATTTGCATTCTATAAAATATCTAGCTTGTTTTCTATCACATTCTTTTCCCAAAATAAAGTACATTCATTCTAAAACAATCCAGAAAGAATTAGAAATTACCAACCTTAATACTAACCAAGAATACAACCTTGATTCTTTTTTCCCAGATAAGATGGATTAGACTAGCATCTAATTATAGACTAGCGTCTAATTATAGACTAAATTAAAATATTTAGTCTGAAATAAATTGTTTCTACTTTTAAGAAAGGTTAGAGTATGCAAGAATGAAAGAAAACAAAAGGACAAATATCAAAATAATCAAGGAAAAAATTTAAGTATAAAATTCACTAACATAACACCCTTTTGAATATTTAGTTTGCCTCACGATAAATTTTATAAAGCATAACTCCAAAGGTTGAACTAAGTAAAAAAAAAAATCCCTGCCTTCACCATAGTTGCAGATCTATTAAAAATACAATATGGAAACTCTGTTTTGGTAAAAATTAAAAGTTAATACATGAAATCATACAATGCTAAAACTAGGGGCTTATGCACAGAAAATGTTACAGCAAGTAGTAAAACATAACTTGTTACTTTGAATATTCTCAATTTCCAAAAAAAATTGTATGATCATACAGTCACCCAGGAAAGTGCTTCATTGCCCTCACTTTTCCAGAAAGTCATAAGCACTTATTTCCAGATAAGATACAGCAAGGTAAGTAGCACTGCCATGTTTCAGGGTAACTATACAGGAGTAGCTAAGTCAATTGTAGATTTTTCTAGCTGCAGCATACCTTCCACTTAGAAAAAGACAAATCAAGGTGGACAATCTTTGTTTATAGATAGTTATCAATTGATCATCACATATATCAGAAATCATTTATAATTACATCTCAAAGTATTGTAGATTTTGAACTATTTAAGTCCAAGAGTTTTTTTCTTTGGAGAAAAAGAAATTTTATCAGTCTAAAACATTCATTTAGTTTAACTGAAGTTAGCTTTTGCACCAGACTACTTTTGAGTTTAAGTAAAATATGAGAGAAAATATTTTATGTAAAACTATGCTCTTTTCCCATATACTACGCTAATTACTAGAAGA